CTCCCCCACAGTCTAGATCCCGTGATCCTCCACACGGTCCTCGATCGTCAACTGACGTCCATCATCTTCGCCCACAAGTCACCGGTGGTTCTCACGGGAGACGACAACGGGTCCGTCAACGTGTACAAGCTCAAGAAGCTCAACGGAGGAGGGGCCGGTGTCGCTTCCGCGGCGACCGAAGGCGCGGTCGTGCCGGGGAGCGAGGCGGATGCGGAAGCCCAAGCCAACGTGCTCAAGGAGGTGATCATGGCCAAGAGGGGAGGGGGTGGACAGAACGGGAGGGAGTGAGATGTCGCGGACTGTGTGGGTGAGTCCTTTTTTTTGTACATATGATATCAGAAAGTCATTTTTTTTTGGGAAGAAGGTTTTGCTAGGAGCTCTACGAAATGCTACTCGCTACAAACCAGCTGACTGGGATTACATGCTATATGGTTGGAAAGCTCGCCCTGAGCAATCCCATGCGTTGCAGATTGGTCAGCTTTATTTCTTGAAGGCATAACCAAGGTCCTGTGAAATCGAGAAGAGTTTCAGACGCAGGATCGACGAGGGTCAACTCCAGATGCTAAAGTCTAAACCCACCTTGAGTGCTCCCTGGATAGCAGCAAGGGTCTTGTCGAGATGGTGGTTGTCAGCATCGTTTGTTGCGCTGACATTCATCTGCGGAAGACGATACGCAGGGTGAGGAATTGGGGAAATCACTGGTTCGCGTTGCAGATGATATCGGTAAAACTTACGTGGCCGATACGGAAGTACCTGGGTCCGTGTTCAGGGTGCAATCCACCGGCGATCACGATTCCGGCCGCTCCGACCTTCTGGAGGAACTCGGGTCCGTTGATGCCCTCTGGGTAGTAGACTGCGCTGAGCGTGTTGGCGGCGACGTTGCGGTTGACGGGGACCTACAGCGAACCGAAAGAGCCATTAGCTACTCCGATCGTAGAGAGGATGGCAGGATCGGAGGTTGGAGTGCAAGCTCCGTACCAGCTTGAGGCCCCAGCTCTCGACGGCGTCCTTGACCTTCTTGGACGCCTCACGGTGCTTGGCATAACGTGAGTCCATGCCCTGGTCCGCAAGCTGCTGCAAGCTCGTCTGCAGGGCCAGAACGCCTTGCACGGCAGGGGTGGCAAAATACGATGGCTTCCTCGCCTCGTAGGCCTTCATGATGGGGAGCCACTTCTTGAAGGATCCAAAGTAGATGGAGGGAGCGGCCTTGCGGTTGGCGGCGACCTCCAGCGCGCGCTTGCTGACGACCATGACGGCGAGACCGGGGGGCGTACCGAGAGCCTTCTGACTGGCGGTCATGACAACGTCGATGCCCCAAGCCTCCTGACGGATCTCCTCTGCTCCGACCGAGCATACGCCGTCCACGGCGATGAGAGTGTCGGGAGACTTTGCCTTGACGAGCTTGGCGATGGCTTCGATGTCGACCAGCACCGACGTGGAGGTGTCGACGTGGGTGAGGGTGATCATCTTGTACTCCTTCTCCGAAAGAGCAGTTTCGATCTGCTCGACGGTCGGACGGTCCCCGAAGGCGGCCCGGACGTGCGTGACGTTGGCTCCGTACACTCCCAAGCTGCAACCAGTTCCGTAAGCTTCGTGAGTCGAGATCTTCGTCTCCATGATCGAGCAAGGCTTCCAACGCACCATTCTCCGAACCAGTCTCCGAATACACCGGTGTTGACCACGAGCACGTTCTCCCCTGGCTCCACCAGGTTCGCAGCGGTCATGTCCCAAGTGAGTGTTCCGGACCCAGCTACGATGAAGGGTTGACCAGTCTGCGGCGATGACATCAAACGTCCACGATGAGTTGTCGAATCCAAAGCACTTTAAGATCGATGCAAGCCCGTTCATACCGGCGCCTGGAAGACGGTTCGTGCAAGCTCGATGGCGCTGCCAAACTTTTCGATGAAGACGGGCGAGACGTGCGAAGTGGCGGGAGTGGACATGGCGTTGAGGACATCGTTGTCGAACTCGACCGGACCTGCGAGAGGCTTCAAGATCAGTGATCCCGTCGCATCTTGGGGGTACTCCACGTCGCTTGGTCGTGGGTGGGGGGTATTGACCTTACCGGGAATCATGCAGAGCTTGTGAGGGGCGGCCATTGTAGCGGGCGAAAAGGAGAAGAACCGGGAAGAGGAGATGAGAGTGAGACGCAGATGATGGATGCTTGGTCCTTGGTTGGTATGCCTGAGAATAGACGTTCCTAGTCTCAACATGTGCTTGCGAGAATGTGGATGCCGGACGATCTCGGGGGGGAACGCCTCTGTATACCAGTCAGTCATTGAGCCGAGTGTGCACTTTCGATAGCACGCAGCGAGGAGGTTAGGGGTAGGTAGGTACAAGCTCTCGTACGGTCACTCAACCGCAACAATAGAGCCGACGATCTTCAAACCCTCAACCACCTTCATCTCGGAAGCCGTGGAAACCGCTGCCATACTTCATTGCCCCGTTCGCATCCTCAAGCTCCGCCTCGAGTAACACCGGAAACTACTTACGCCATAAATGTCCGACGATCGCAAAGCCAAGATGGAGGCTCTGGCTGCGAAGCGAAAGGCGGAACCCGAGAAGGGTTCCGACAAAGATGAAAGGTATTCCCAAGCATCCCGATAGGACCCTGGACAAAGTCGAATCTCGTCAATCCTCGTCGGCCTCTTGTATAACCTGAACTCCTCACTTGCCATCAGTCCTCCACCCGCGAAACCAAAGTCACGAGGCACCGCAACACCAAAGAAGCGCGCTCCCCCGCCACCACCCTCCCACGATGAAGAATCCGAGGAGGAAGAGGACGACGAGGAGGACGACGACAGCGGTGACGAGGAGGTGGTCAGCGCGTCCAAGCGGAAAGCGAGTTCGACCCGCACCAGCACCAGCAGCAGCAAGCGGAAGGGGGAGTCGTCGGTGAAGAAGCAGAAGACGAAGGGAAGCGATGATGATGACAGCGATGCAGGCGGAAACGAGGACGATGACCTTGGTATGTTCCCAACAAAGAAACCGTCCCATGGTCTGATGACACGGAAAACACAGCAACTCATTTCTGTTTTTTCGATCAGGCGAGGACGTGGACTTCCTCGACACGAGCAACATCATTTCGAGCGGTCGTCGTTCCACTCGCGGAAAGAGGATCGACTACAAGCAGTTCGGTCCCGATGGAGACGATGACGAGTAGCTCTTGCGCGCGTCCGCCCCGCAGCCTCTTTTTCCCGTCCTCCGTTTTTTGGGCTTGTCCTCTGATGGTTTTTTGTTTTGTTATCTTCAACGAAAGCGGATATGCACCGAGGAACGCTTTGGCGACATGAAGAATGGCACAAGTCGAAGTGACGATGTTGTCAGCGTGAAGATTTCCCTTCCTCAATGCAATCGTCTTCCATACGCCCCGGGCACACTCTCTTTCTCAATGTTATCCATTCCGTCACCGACGTTTGTTATCGACTGATGACGGTCAATTACTTCCGACAGGGCAGTTGGATCATTGTTTTTTAAAATTCTAATCTATCTAATCCTCACATGCAAGGCGGCCTCATCGGCGAGGTGTGGATACCTCAAGCCAGCAGCGACCACCCTAGCTTGCATGGCCGATGCACAGAGGTCGGGAAGGATTTCCCGAAGCCAGTGGAGGGGCGAAAGGGAGTTGAACGGGGCAGGGTCACATGGGGACACTGTCCGTGGGGACACTGTCCGTTTGTGGCTGCCGTCGATGTGGGCAGCGGCTCAGACCCGCTCACGCTTTCGGAGAGCGCGAAACGAGGTACCGTAAACGTCCTTTGTCGTGGACGAGCTGAGGAGGGATCGGTGACACTTTGCGTTGCCTTGTAATTCCTTTCATCGCATCTCGCTGTAAAGCTGGAATCCGAGGGCGAGTCCTCCAGCCAGGAACCCGGCTCGGATGGGTCCGAGAGTGATGCGGTTGGCAGGTGACGTTGCGGATCGGATGCCTTGAGCAAGGAGACGACGGGGGAGTGCGACGGTGCGGGCGAGCATGGGTGTGTACGAGGGGGCGGGATGCGAGTGTGGGAGTCGTCGGAAGTACGGGCTTATTTCTGAGATGTTCCCGGACAACCGCTCGCCATTTTGTACCCAGCCGTCCCTGCCTTCATCCCTTCCATCTCGTTCGGTCTGAAGAAGAAGAAGAAGAAAAAGAAAAGAGGGAGATCTGGGGGTCTTGGGCAGGCTGCTGCTAACCCGCGGTCTAATCTGATTTCGATAGAGGTGCCATCGATGAGGTTTGGGACCCGTCCTCTCGCTCTCTGAGGTGCCATCGACGAGGTGACTGGGATATCTCGTCCACACTTGGACAAGACAGTGGCGTCTGACGGGTTTCTGGTGTGAACCCCACTGGTTCGCTGATGGACTCGTGCAGCTGGGATGGAGATTCCTACAAGGGTTGCAGGAGCAGGAATCGGTTGGTCGGTTGCCTCAAAAAATTGCTCGACAGGGCCCCACCTTGAGGAAAATCAAAACTGAACGTAAACAAAAATGTAGATGGTCGATGCTGATGCCTCCCTGACTGTTATTACATGCTGCTCGATCCTACCAGGACTCGAACCTGGAATCTTGTGCTTCGTAGGCACACGCCTTAGCCATTGGGCCATAGGACCGGAATAAAGAAGACATATCATGCCGCGAGGCAGCATTGCCTATATACAATTGCAAAATACTTCCGGGTGCTCAGCGGTTTGCCCGCGAACATCCACATGTGCTTTCTATCGATAACGTTTTTGTTTCGTATCTGACGTGTAGGTGTGAGTATTAGCCACTGGGCCATAGCACTCTGGTAGTGCATGTTGTTAACACGCTCGAACCGATTCTACGTGATCGATCCAAAATGAACTATCCAGACGGTCTGAGGCTGTACAAGCGAACCCGGTCATTGAAGTAGTATATACCCATGAAGATCCTGGGACCAAGCAAACGTACCGATAGTGGCGTACAGATCCCGTCTTATCAACGATCTCGTCGTCAAGTTCGCAGCAGCGGTTCAGCGCCTTCGCCCGACGGTGAGTATCCGACAGCTATCAGCTGGGCGAGATACATGTTACCGAAATCAACCGAGAGCGTCGAAGGAGAGAGAGAGAGAGAGAGAGAGAGAGAGAGAGAGCGGTCGTCCTTTGTTCACTTGCTTCTTGCCCTTTCCTGGGTCGATCGTGGAGTGCGCCTCTTCCAATATCGCTGACCTTCTCCTGGACTTCGGGGTTTGAGATGGACCGACGTCCAACAAAGGATAATCATATCAAAGAAAGAGAAAGGAAAAACAGAAAACGGTGAAGATCGGGTTCATATACAAAGCGACCGGAGAGAGAGGAACGTTTGCGTAGCAGAGGAACGGGACAAAAAGCCCACCCTAATCTCTCATTGCTTTCTTCTCAAACCATCGTTGACCCTTCTCACGACCGACCCAACCTCGTCAACATGTCCTCCCTGATCCGATAGAACCTGTCCACGTCATCCTGCACCTTGTCGGTCCTCGTCCTCGTCTTGCCGTCTGCTCCCGATCCCAGATTCGACTGGGACCGGGATTGTGACTGTCGAAGACTCGGTGACGTTGACGTCGCCATCGACGAGCGTCGGTCGTCGCCCCCGCCGCCGTACGATCCATCGTCGATGATGGATGATGAGCGGTGGCTTGTCGAGTGGTAGGATGGAGATGGGGAGGAGGACGTGGGAGAGAGGGAGGACTGCGCGTGTGAACTGGTGGTTGGGTATGCATGGGGAGAAGAGTACGGGTTGGAGTAGGGAATGGGATTGGCGATGGGATTGATTCTTGAGGACGAAGATGATGAGCGATGCATGGATCTTGAAGGGTCTGGTTGTGAGGAGTGCGGGGAGGAGTGGTATCGATCTTGTTGTTGCCGATGGGAGTACGGTTGTGGGTATGGGTATGCGTCGTGAGTGGGGTTTGGATTTGGATCTGTTGAATGTCGGTCTTTTTGAGGTCTGCGATCGGTCGCAGGGTCGTGATTCAAAGAAGAAAGGGAACGAGGTCGGTCGACGGTTGATAATGGTGGTGGTAATGGCGGTGGTGGTGTTGGAGAGTAAACAACGTCAGCGCTGGCAGTGGGAGTAGGTGTGAATCCGCTGGAGATGTGTGCGGGATAGACGTACTTTGGAAGACTCTGCGCAGAGATCAGGTAGGAGGGTCAAGAAAGGAATCATTGCCTGGCGTTTGGGTCGTGCAAGTCCCTTACCGGTACGTCCCTCGATCTTGAGAAAGAGGTACGAGACGACCCGGACATCCCTCCGACGTCCTCATACAATCCAGCACGATCATTGCTGCTTCCATATGAGCTCGGATCCAAGGACGGGTTTGGCCGTTGCTGTTGCTGTCTGATTCCGACTCCTCCCTGTCGACCAACGGAACCTTGATCGCTCAACTCCAACTCACTGTCGTACCTCGACGATGGATTCGGGTGAGTCGTCAAGTTGTCCCTATCTCTCGATGTCGCCAGATTCACGTTGAGAAAGGAGGAAGCGGCCGAGATGGAACGCGAGTCGGGTTCGTCGTCATCATTGCCGTTCCGACTCCCGTTGCGGTCACGATGGTGATGGACCGGTAGGGAACGGGACTGGGAGGCAGAAGCTGACGCAGCGACTTCGGCGTCTACCTCCTCCTGTGCTGATGTTGGAAGGTACACGTTTGTGTACCAGTGCTCGAAATCTCTGGTAAGTCGATGACGCGCTTGTTCTAGGAGGTGTTGGAGGTGTTCGATCTCGATTCGTAGATCTTTGAGTTGTTGATACGATGCTTTGTATCTGTTTGTCAACGTTTTTCGATCAGTATACAAAGCGAATGCGGGAGGGAAATGCGCTCCCTGGCGACAGGTTCGAAAGTGTGATTGAGATTGGGATTCTAACCTTGCCGAAGTATCCGCGACTTTTGCCCTCAACTGCACCAGCTGAGCATCAGCTTCAGGACCAGCTCCATTTAACTGCGCGATCGTGCCCTTCAGGAGATCTGTTGTGTTCCGACATTCAGCAACATACTTCCGGACAAGTAATTCAGACGAGAACGAGAAACGACAACGCAACCGAACTCACTCATATCCGTCCTCAACTGATGAGCCTTCTCGCCCAAAGCCTTCGCGTCCCCGTACTTTCCCTTCAACAGCGTCTTCTGCCCCTCGATCCACGATCCGGATGGATACCCTGATTTGAAGATCTCGAACGCTTTGGCTTTCTCGCTCGTCAGCTGAGGCACACTGGCGGCTAGTCTCGCGGTCGAGCCACCGAATCCTGGCGCGGGTGCTCCGGTAGTGGTGGTGCTGGTGGTGGGAAGGGATGAAAGGGACACTGATTTGGTATTTGCAGCGGCGGTTGCAGAGGGACCGGATAGAGACGGCATGGATACTGCTGATCGGATCTCGGGTGGTAATGCTTTTAGAGGACGCTAATGGAGAAATTAGAAACAAGGGTCAACTGGAAATTATGGAAAGAGAGAGAGAGAGAGACGACCAGCTGGTTGGACAATTCTTCAATCTACCTTGTCCACTTCCTCGCCAGATCGAAGCTTGTTTACCATTTCGACGAGGATGTCTAAAAAGTTGAATTTGTTCGTAAGCATGAAGATGGTACTCATTCAGCGCAAGTCAAGTGGAAGATTGTCTCACTGATCTCATTGTCACGATGCGCGATGAGTCGTCGCAGTCGTTCCAATTCGGATCCGTTCTCGTCGCTGTCCATAGCTGCTGGTCCATCCTCTGCAGCTGGCAATGCAGAGGCGGTCTTTAGAACCGTGCCAGGAACGCTGTGATTCGAGACTGATGATGCGGTCTGTTTCGTCATCACCTGTTTTGGAAAGAAAGCAGATCAGTCTTCATGCCTTTGCGATCACAAGCAAATCAGCCACCCCATGGAACACATCTCAACTACCTTCAACAATCGAAACGCCTCACCGATCTTCCTTGCGTCCGCGAACAAGAGCGCCGCGTCCTTCCCTCCATCCCTCAGATAATCCATGACGGCATCCTTGACCCTCTCCTTTTCGTACTCCGGCAACTCCTCCCCAGCATCGTCACCCGTCTCCCCTCGAGCGATGGCAAGCTCGACCTTCAGACGAGCCACCTCGCGCTTCAGTCTCGCAATCTGGAGACGAGGATCGAGTTCCTCGTTCAGTTGGGCGTTGTTGGAGACGAGGGCTACGCGTTGGGCGAATCGACAGGTCGATATGGATTCCTGTTTCATGGGAAATCAGACGTGGATGGGGACCATCCTTTCTCTTCTGTCTTACGTCGATAAGAACATCCTCGACGGCCACGGTGGCCACCATGGTGGTCCGACAGTTTCCACCCAGCGAGTCCCTCAGCACGCTCGTCATCATCGAGTTTCGATACGGTACGTGGGTACGTTTCCCCGAAGCCTTCTCGTGAAGGGCGATGATGACCTGTTCGAGGTAGTGTAACGACAGGTTGATGTATTTGGCTTCCTTCAGAAGCGTGCCGTTGATCCCCGTTCTTCCCACTCGCTCGGATCTAGAGATGTGCCCCTTCGTCAGTACGCGGAAACATTGTTGAGCTGGAGAGGGGGGGGGGAGCGGAGGGTTTTCTTCTACCCTGCCAGATCGACGAGATGCAATTTGCTCTTCCGTATGGTGTCCTCTCCCTCCTTGCGTCCCGTGATGTTGACGATGAAAAGACAGTGACTTCGCGAGGAAGCGGGGTTGGAGGGTGTCTCTGCGATCATGCGGTTGGTGTCACCTATGAAGAGGAGGTTCAAGGCTTCCTCTTCGTCCTTTGCCGTGATGCATGATAGATTTCGAAGGTGGATGTTGCCTCCATCGTCCTCCTGAAGGGAGACCTTTCTTTACCGAATAAGAACAAAGTGAGACATGAGCTGAAGGACGAAGGAAAAGAGGTGTAAGAAAACTCACGGAAGATCCTCGAGCTTCTTTGCCTCCCTGGTGCTATCGAGAAGGTCGTACGCGACCTCGTTGTAGATCTCGAGGTAGGAGACGCTGACCTCGTAGCGAACGTCGTGATCCTTCTGCATCTGAGCGAAGACGAACTGGAGAGTTCGAGGGATGATGCCTCGATCACCGTATCGTTCGGCTCCTCCCGTGATGGTAAAGGTCTTTCCCGAACCCGTCTGTCCGTACGCGAAGATGGTACCGTTGTATCCGTCCATGACACTGAGGGAAGTTCGAAAAAGTCATCGATGTTACCTTTCGCTATCATCATGAATCTTTCTCCCCGCTGTTTTCCTCACCTCAAGACGACGGGCTTCGCGACGACGTCGAACACCTCCTCCTGACCCACGTCCCTGTCAAAGACCCTGTCGAAACGAAAGTCGTAGGATTCCCTCTGGTTGTTGATCATGCCTGCCGCCTGATCCTTTGGGACATGAAAGCCGATGCGAGGCTTGCTACCGTCCTGATCCTGTGAAGCAGGGTTGCACCAGTATCTGTTCGGATCGATGGGAAGCTTGCTGTTGGCCCTGGCTGGTCGTACGCGGGCGTAGATCTGGATAGTGGCTGGGGCGTTGTTGTTGTTGTTGTTGTTGGTAAGTCGGGAGGATTGTTGCTCTGATGCGGGTGGTGGAGGTGCGGGCGTGGCGGAAGTAGAGGCAGCGGCCGAGACATTGTCGGGCTGTGACGAAGGTAATGGTG